CGGAAAGTTGTGCTGCGAGAATCAGCAGCAGATGCTGCAGAGATACAAATTTGCTGATAAATGTGCATATGTGTGAATGTGTGTGCGCGTGTGTTTGGGGGAGGGGAAGGTGGCAGCTAATTGCCGACTGTGTAACTGATGTCTGCTGTCGGTTGTCTTTTGTCTGTTGTCTGCCGCAGCTCGTCTGCGATATCTTTTAATTTGCCACAAAACGCACCAAATGCGCAAACCATATGAGTGCATGTGTGTGTGGGTGACTTCCACTCTGTTTGTGTGTGTGTGTGTGTGGGGGTGTGTGAGCGGGCAGTCAGCAACCAAGCCGCCAAACCGCCAAGCAGCCAAACCGCTAAGCAGCTGCCAGCCCTGGCCAAGCCTGGGAATCCTCTCACTTTTTTCCCAAGCACTGGCCATTGTCTCTGTGTCTGTGTGTGTGTGCAACGATGATGAAGATGATGCGAGTTGGAAGAGCTGCAGAGACCCAGCTGCCCCCGCCGCTGCCCCCGCCTCTGCCGCGACCACTGCTGCATGCCTTGGCTGCCCGGCTGGATATGACACAGATTACGTAATGCGAAATTAACATTTTAACACAATTCAGCAGACGAGATTGCAACGGCAGCCAAAAGAAAGAAACTGCAGCAGAGAATGGCAAACGGAGAGAGTCGAAGAGACTGCGAGTGAGAGAGAGAAAGAGAGTGAGACTGGGAGAGAGAGAGAGAGAGAGAGAGAGGGAGAGGCCATGCAACAAATGAGCCACTGTTTGGGCATTTGGCCAAGTCTTTGACTGATGATCAGACTTTGTTGTGGCGTGGTCAGCAGACACCCAGCAGACTGACCAACACACACACACACACACACACACATGCACACTCACACTCACACCGAGACAGACAACACGGCAGCCGGTTGCGCCTCTTGCAGTCAATTATGCAATTAAAGCTTTACATGCGAACAAGTAGCAATTGCAGCCAAATGAGGCAAATTTCCAATGCGCTGGCATCGATTTGACAAAGCGACAGTTGCTCCAACACCGGCGATCCCCCCCACCCCTGCTATTTGTGCAGCCGAGCCTCCCAGTGAGTGGCCTGCGGGCAGTCATTTGCATCTTGTAGTCATTATCTCTCACTCTTCTTCTCTCTGCATCTCTCTCCATCTACCTCCTTCGTGTCCGATTGACTGTCAACTGTGACGTGTCATCGCCGTAAGTCAGCAGTTTTATGATTCCTTTTAGCTGCCTGCCGCCGCTTCTTTTCCCATGGCCAATAAAGCCAGCGCGAGCAATTAGTTTGTGATTTGAAATTTGGGGAAGTTTTTCGTAAACTATTGAACAGGCATAGAACTGTGAACGGTGACCAACCGAAGTTCAAATACTCTTAAAGAGTGCTGAATGAAAAATGATCGACAGTGACTGCTCTTGTTGGTTACATTTTTACCATGATTTCGGCCATCGTTAATATCGATTGCTTCATCGTTCGACTTGTCAGCTCTAACAAGAAATAAGGGTAAATAAATTGTTCGATAAATAATGAAAATAACAAAATCTCTTTTGCAATGTTTCTTGGCCAAAAGCCAAGAGTCAAACAGCTGATCGATGTGGATATTATGAAAGATCAAGTATGTACATATATCTGCATATAATATATATAAATCTACTACTTCTTCTTCAAGTTTGCCTGCTATTCGCCTCATTACGTATACGTCGCATAGACAAGCAAAAATAAGAAAAAAAGACTTCATCCATTCAATTGAAATGAAGTGGCAAAATTGTCTTTTTGCTTGTAGTTTTTATACATTGGCTTTTAATAACAGTCGAGAGACGAGCCGAGACGCGCTGTCATCATTATTATGGTTTGGAACATCATGATCGCGTTTGGTTTTGCCCGTAATTTGCTAATCATTTCAACTGCCACTTTGGCCAGCAATTTAAGCGCCGCAACAAGGAAGAAATTGTCAACCATTTCGAAGTCATGAGAAAATGCCAAGACAATCTTCAATGCTGGCTATTTATTTGGTGGCAGCAAAGGATGATGCCCAGATTGACCAACAGTGGACAGGCGAGCCAAAAGTGAATGGCAGATGATTTCAACTCTTGCTTTCAGCCTCGCCAACACGCTGCCTTCGCAATTGGCCAACAGCGAGCAGTGGGCGCCCAACTGTCCAGCATTATTACGGAGGAATCTGTCGCTCTGTTGTGTGTTTAATCAGCAGCGATGCACTCACGCCTGACTGAGCCGCTCCGAAAGGGAGAACGCACTGATGTATATACTTCACAGCAGCCATGACTTAATTAAGCATCTGCGAATCGTTAATTAATATTTGCCAGCCATATGTAGTATACATAGATATGTATTGGAAATTGGGCAGCAGCTGCCTGGCTGACTCGCAGAGGTCATGCAGAGATAAAATTGCTGCAGCCACAACTCGCTGTGTCTGTCGCTTTCTTCTATGGAAATTCCACAATTCGATTGGCCATAAAGCGCAAAGGCTCGTTTAGCAACTGGTTACGTGGTCGTCACCCGCCGCCAAACGCTTCCTGGAAGCCACAAAACTGATCACCGTCGCGACAAAGGTGGCATCTGCCAGCTGCCTCAACTGCCTCAACTTAGGCGTCTCACGTAGTCGTTGCGCCTCTGTCTTTGCCTTTGCCTTTGCCTCTTTCTCTGCCTCTGCCCAGACAAGCATTGCATGTGCCGCATAAATCTTCAGCTCATTTATTTATTTAAAATACAATATACTGCAAGTGCATCCAGCTGCTGCTTGGGTTGGGTGTCTGCACCCAACAGCCTCTTGATTATATAGCAAATGTTGTATGTGCATTTCATGTGATTTGTACTACGGCCGACAAGCCTCACCTGGGGGCGGCCGCGTGTTGAACTCTTCAGGATATTATTGTCAGCGGCAATTGACTTAATGTCTAGCATTGACTTTTGACTAAACAATGGCATTTCATGTCTTCAATTGTTATCATTAGCACTGAAATCTATGCATATTAACCTTTTCAAGAGATAACAAAACGTGCATGGTATTTCAAATAAGCTTGCTTTGTTTTCAGCTATATCAAAATCAATATGGTGAAAGAGGGAGGCCTCTTCAGACAACATGTTTTCATAAAGTAGCTGACGAGCTGAATACCAATTTGAAACATGCTTAAACTCAGTTACTAAACAGTTGCTTAAACAGCAGAGCCAGCATTTACAAAGCAATTTTCATGCCTTCTCGTATATGGAAAACTCTTTGGCTCTTTGACACAGACTGACGCAAACAAACAACATTCAAATTATGCAAAACAAAGCGTTAGAAAGACGGACTCGGGCTGACTGATACTGATACTTAAGGATTTGGCCACATGGCCTCAGCTATGCGAACAGACGCGCAGCACATCCCAGCCAGCATAATCCGACTACGAGGAACAAGGCGAAGGCTGAGAAACTAAATAGCTTGAAATATGGCAAAATAGAATAAGACATAAATAAGGGCAGGTTTAAGATAGATGTTGATGCTGGCTTACAGACGCACCAACTAGTTAAGGCTTAGGGCCAAATGAAAGTAGAATAGTGAATAGAGACTAGTAAGACAACGAATTGAACTATATTTGCAAAAAAAAAAAAAAAAAAAAAACACATTATTTTTAGAAATATTCCTTGCGTCTACCTAAGCCTATAGCGACTCGCTTACTTTAAGTGTCAAGTGCCGGAGACTTTAATATAGCCATATTTTGTATGGCTTGTGATATATTCTTACTCCTGTTAAAGATTTATATATTTTTAGTTGCATTTTTTGTAACTCTACTTAAAATAAAATATGTCATATCTACTAACAAATTAATAAAAAAAAAATATAAAAGGAAATAAATAATAATGAAAGTATTCCAAACAGAGAAATATGTAAATTCTTAGCCATGTTTACATTTTACTGACTCCTAATAGTTAGGTTTCTTCAGCAGCAGTCACCTTAAGGACTGTTAAAACAAACAATATAAATAAATAAAATAAAAGAGTGGTTTCGAAATTACAGATTTGTCTGTTTAGGTATTGCTAGTTTAAGTCGAAATTTGTCAAGCTAAGATATTTAAGAAACATAAAAAGTCTTTGAGTAGACAGAAGAGAACTTTCTGATATAATATATACTCTTAGCTTATCTGAAAATATTATGCTTAGAATATCTCCTTCAACAATCATCTAAATCGAATATTCATTTCTTAATCCAATCCAATGACTCACCATCAAATCAAATCTCTTCACTTTAAATTCCAGTTGTACATTACATAAATAATTGTTTAGCCCTTTTCTCATCCATTTAGCTTTAAGCCAAATTTGCTGAAATTCCATGGAATTCACGCTAACAACCAAGAGCTGTGTGAAAATGTTAATTTCATTACACTTAACTACTGGGAATTGCATTTACAGCTCTACTGAACACATTGTAGCTAGAACCGTTGCCAAATTTCAAAATATTTGCATTGCAAAAGTGCTCAAAGCTCTTTAATTTCCATTTGAAATCGGCTTCGCTTTCAGTAATTGTTTTCAAGTCATCATCGTTTCGGCAGAGTCTGCTTAAAGACTGTGGAATGTTTGCTTCAATAATCTCGAAACTATTTTCAGCTCACGCAATGCCTGCTCTGAGCGAGAGAATGTTGTTTAGTCCTGCAAATATTTYGCATTTGAATGAATGAAAGGGGCAAATGCAAATATATTCAGATAATCTCAGAGGAGCATTCAGTTGGAAAATGCGCAATGTAGTGGAGGGCATGAGTGGGCGAGGAATGTTAAATACACACACTTACACATATACGTATACATACATATAAAATAGATTTGAACAAGGAAATGCCGCATAGAAGGACTAAAAGGATTCCGAGGGAGCATTCGCATTTGCATTTGCCATTTATCTAATACGATTTTTGGTAGCTCGCTCTAGCCGCCCGTCTAATGACCAAATCCATTTGGCCGCAAATTAGTTTTTGTGGTCAGAAAGTGGTTTTGTTTGTGGGCGGATTGACTTACCTTGCGCTTGGAGCGTGCCATGCGCTGGTCGCGCGAGTTCTCCGCCTCGCCCGGCGGCCGCTTGCCCCACACGGCGATGGCGATGCGCGTGTAGGTGAATATCAGCACCAGCAGCGGCACGATGAACTGCAGCGTGAACAGGGTCAGCGTGTAGTAGTAGCCCTGCTCGGCCGAGGGCCAGACCTCGCGACAGATGTATCTGATGTGGCAAGCGCAGACAGAGCACGGCGAAACGATGTTGTTGTGTGGGTTGTGGCATGCAAAACAAAAGAGCAGAAGCCGCATAGCGGGCCATGAGAGGGAGTTAGTTTAATGTGCATATCGGTTTAAGGCTGTCGGAGGTGGGGGCGTGGCATAAATGCTGTCAGCCTGTGCGCTGGCCATGAAAGCTGTCACATGCACACACACGCACACACACGCACACAATGAAACTTTTATGCAAAGTCTCTCAACTGTAATGGCTGAAAAGTTGGCAAAAAAAAGAAAAAGAAAATAGTAAATTCTCCTGCATTTCGCCAACATTTTGCGTTGATTTATTGCAACTTTTTACTGTGCAAATATGAGCTATAAAATATATTTGTTGCAAAGTGCTTCGTTGGCATAATGAACGCAGAGTCATTTTTATTTCATTTTTCCAACATTTTATGCACTTGATTGCATTTTGTGCCCACGGTGCGTGTTTTTGATAGGTTCACAAAATGAAAATTCTCATCTGCCAGCTGATGTTGCGGTAATTAGGCACGTACCCTTACACATCACACAGCTGCCACCCACATGCGCACACACACACACACATGCATGCAGTTGGGCCCAAAATGTGCTCTAATTGAATGTGAAATGAGCAATTGCTTGCATTTAAAGTCAGGCAGAGTCTCATTTGCAATATTTGCAATTCACTCGAGGGCGTGCCCCAAATTGTGGCAAGTATCTTAAGCAAGCAGCCGTAAAGCCATTCGAAGCCAAAATGGAATTTCGAGTCCTTGCCATCGAGCTATCGATTTCAGCATGTGGGCCCAGTCAGCCAGTCAGCCAGCCAGTCAGCCAGCCAGTCAGCCAGCCAGCCAGCTTCTGTTGCATGCCACGACATGCTGCTTACGACTCGCAGAGCAATTCGGCTCAAGTGGCACTCGTTACACAATGCCACGGCCATATCTTTAATGCTACACTTCAAGCACGCACTACACTACATTGTGTTGGAGCTCCTAATGGGTTTCTACTCACTTCTCGCACTTCTCGTGCCATATGGAGCTGGGCACCTCCAGTCGGGAGACGACGGGTATGGGAAAAGCGGTTGCCAGCGCGATAAACCAAACGCCAGCGATAATAAATTTGGCATATCTGCAAGAAAAGAAGAGAACAGAATGAAATAAGTTGAGGTAAAGAGTTGGTTAGTTGGTTTCTAAGTGGACGCAGCGCTTCAGCTGACGCACGCATTGCGTATACGCCTCATACGACGATCTYGTGAGTGAGTGCCGGAGTGCGTGCGTGCGTGAGTGAATTACAGCGAGGCAGGATAATTATAAAGCTTATTTATCTTGGGCCTCACAAATATTTACGTATGCCACGAAAGCCTCGCTCCTTAGCACGCACTCATCGACAGGGCGTGACATAAATGCCAGCGCCTCCTGCTCGCCCCCTCGGCCCCTCCCAGGACGGGATAGCCGGCATATTTCGTTACAAAGCAAATTGACGTTCGATGCCGGGCTGGCGGCCTGGGCTCGTCGGATTTGCCAGCAGCTGCCGTCAGCTGTGTCTTGGGTTACTATTTAAACCAATTAACACGACACAGCCGACCGGCCCTTGCCTATGCGAAGTCCCCTTGGGACGGCAGGCATTGCGTGTCTTTGTGTCTCATGGGGACCATGGGGACCGCTGGTCAAGTGCGGTTGCCAGCCAAATGCCTAAAGCGTCAAGCAATGCAAATACGCCAGCGGCCACTTAACGGCGCCAATGTCACAAAGGCAACAGCAACAGCAACAACAACAACAACAGCAACAAAGCGAGCAAGGGCGGGACTTCAATTAGTTTTTATGCGCCTTCAATTAGGTTAAATGCTACTAAAAGCCAGCTTTGCATACTTGAGTCGGGCCCGAATTAAATACTGAATATAATTGCCAACTGTTAATAGGTAAGCTGATATTCGCTATGAAGTTATGCTGCCAAGTTGATTAGATTTTGGGTTTTAAAAGTTTGCTAGATTTTAATGGAATTGCAGTGGCTTAAAAAAATATTTTAGGGCTATGGATAAAAACTAGGAAATAAATAGAAATTATAAACGCCTGTTTTGCGTATGCTGTGATGAGTTCTACTAAGAAAAATTCATGATACATATATTACATTATAATTTTAAATTTAAATAATATAAGCCGAAAGCTCTGAAGCTAGTGAATAATTTTTAAGTTAGTTTTAATTATATATTAGCTCTAATATTTAATAAATATATAAATAATATCAAAAAAAAAAAAATAAAAAATAAATAAATAAAATTGTAATAAATGGAGTTAAAACGGCATTTCAGCTTTTACTATATTTATAAATAAAAAATCAAAATAAAATTTCAAATAAAAAAACATTATACAAAAGTAATAATTTGTCCCTATGTGAAAGGACTAAGCTTATTAAAAATTGCTAATTTTCGCTATTTACTTGTGAAAGGATGTCTGCTAACTGTAAAAAGGTAATTTTAATTTATTTGATTCTAGGAAATTCAGTTCTTAAAAAGCAATCAGAATTTTGAGTTGAAACTTGTATGAGTAATCTCACAAAATTTTAAGCTAGCTTGAGACAAATTTTGAGATGCATTAAAAGGATATATTTGTCTGAGCGAAATTCTATGAAAATCGGCTCAGTGGTTAATAAACAAACTGAATTTTCAGTTGAATATGTTAAGTATGAATAAGCTCTTGAGAATCTTAAGCCAACATGAGACGGATATTAAGATGAAGCAAAGAAGATGAAGATGCGCGAGTATGCCGCATGGAAAATGAGCAATTAAGCAGAGCCAAGCTGAGCACCGCACACCTGCAGTATTCCAAGATGGATATCTTATGAATTCAAAAATATTTATTTTTATATATATCAACTCATCAATATACGCACCGCTTGGTGATGCGAGGTCGCAGCGGCCACATGATGGCTATGTAGCGATCGATGCTGATGGCCACCAGGGTGTAGGCGCTGACCAGGACGGAGACCACCTGCGAGTAGTTGACAAAGTGGCACAGAACGATGCCGAACGGCCAGTAGTTGAGAATGTACTGCGAGATGAAGGAGGAGGGCACGCAGAAGAGCGACATCAGTATGTCGCCCAGAGCCAGATTGGCGATGAAATAGTTGGTGACGGTGCGCATGCGCGGCGTGGATTGCACGATGTAGCAGACGATGCCGTTGCCGAGCAGGGCGAATATGAAGATGGGTATGTAGAGCAGGTAGACAACGCTCTTGAAGTAGTCGCTGGACCACAGATCATCCGAGTGGGAGCTGGAGTCGGTGCAGCTAAAGTTAAGCAATACGGTCACATTGAAGGCGGGCGTGGTCGATGGATAGCTGGCATCCTCGGCTTGCATCGGCTGCTCCGTGGAGCTGCCGTTGTAAAACAGTGCCTCCGCAGCATCCGGATAGTCGTCCTCGTTGTGCAACAGCGGCTGCTGTGCCGCTATGTAATACAGGCGCTCCTCACTCAACGCCGAGCGCTCCATGTCCAGGCGACTTCGCTGCCAGGCCAAATTGTTAAACTCCATTTTGCTGGCAGAGTACTTTTCTTCTACGACTCTTTTCTTATGGTAGGCGAAGTTTGGCCGGTGTAACTTAATCTAAACCCACTTTGGCATAAGCAAATTTTAATTGCAGCGTGGTTACATGGCGCTCGCTTTGCGGTTGAAATTTAATTATCCACAGCCAGCGGATGGGACCTGAAAGTATGCGCGAAATTTGTTGAAATTCGTTATTAATGTTATTTAAATTTTAAGAAATTTTCATGCTTGGTTTGCCATGAAAGTGAGCTACGGGCTGGCCAAAAAGAAGTCCATGCAAGTTTTACTGCTTGCCTCGAGGCGGCGCTTCTCAGACAGCTGAATGGAATGCCATCTGAACTGTTGCATATTTTAGAGCTGCTGGTGAAATTATAAAATTGCTTCATTTAATTCTATAGACACCAAATTAAGCAGCCAGTTCAAATGCAAAAAGATTCATTAATAATTCGTGGCTCTTTGCTTATATTGAATTATTGAAGCACAGATGTTCAGCAGAGATTCTTATATTAAATTTCTACATTTTTTTAATTGATGTGTATAGATATTTTTATTAGCTCGACTGGCCAGGTATTTTAGTTCATAGCTCGGTGACAGGTTCAGTTCGTTACTCTCTCATTCAACTGCCTCAAAATGTTAAGCTTAAGAAATTCTTGGTCTGCTGTACTGCATCTTTTATTTACTTATTAATTTATTTGTAAAATTATAATTACGCAAAAAATAGCCTTTCATAAGCATCTAACTGGCTTCTTATATATTCATAGATGATAATTCACAATTGAATTAACATTTAAGACGCACACTCGACAAGGCTAACTTCAACAATAAATCGTGCTTCAGGCAGATTTAGATTTTAATGGAGTAATGAAAGTTCCTTGAGCGTGTTGATTCTCTTCCAAACAGTCTAGGTAAGCGTGCAGGTATTAGGCCCACAAATAGCTGAATGAACTCGCACTAGAACTAGGCGACTCAGACTCAGACATTATCACACTCAAGATCTACTCGACCTGTTCCTCACCTAGAAATTATAAAATAAACCTTTGCACTTTAAACGTGAGATTTTAAACCAACTTAAAATACTTATAAAGCTATTCAACTGTGCTAAAATCTATAAGACTTCTTTTAAAACTAACATGAAATCTATAAGTACCTCAAAAGTGCCCTGAATGGGTTCACTTTGCAATGAGAACAGCATCTATAAAATAAACTGTTGCATATATTTGTGCGCAGCCAGTATAAGACTCGGCGCTGAGTGTATAAATCAAAATGGCAATCAAGTAACCAGAGACCATTAAAACTGCCAAAATAAAAATACACAGAAATCGCTTAAGGGTAACAAAATATATATATGTATGTATGTATATATGCAATGATAAATTGGTCGCAATTCAAAGGCATTTTGCGCTGAGCAATGGCTGAGCAAAATGAAAGGGAAACCTTTTAGGGGCGAGGAAGTCAAAGCGAAGGAGTGAAAAATGTCGATAAACGTATTTTTTTCTTGACTGAGCACTTTGCAAACGAGAAACTGTAAAGTCAAAAAGGCTGAAAGCATTCCAGGAAGGATTTTCGCCAAACCAAAGTGAAATGTTGCTAAGAAAAATACAGAATAAAATGAATGCATATAATAAACAAGCAAACAGTTTAAGGCAGAGTGAAAAGAAAATAAAGCTAAAACAAAAGGCAAAAGACCCTAAGACTTCCTTCCGTTCAGCTGCATTTGAAAAACTGTGCCATATTCTGGCTTTAATGAGCCGCAGGCCGAATGGAGAATCTGTCAATTGAAATGCATGGCCATAAGGAAGACATAGTCATATATGTAAATATATACCCTATATATGTATATAGTGCTTTCCTATTTGTGGCCTGGCATTAGGCAAATGAAAATGATAAGCAGAATATGCGTACGCGCACAATTAAAGCCGGGCAACAAAGGACAATTGTTAAAGATAATATGAAAGCTGAAATTTGATTGCTAAGAGCGTGCGTGTGTGGGTGTGTCTGGGCATATCTGAGCATGTGTGGGTATGTATGTGTAAAAGGAAGTCATTTCAACTTTTACTGGAGCGTTGGTTTAATGTGCCGCTAAATAAACTCCGACACCGACTAGCTGACAGTGTCTGCTAAGCAGACTCGTATGTGTCTGTGAACGCTTGCTGTAAAAGCCGGATAAGGATATCTATCAGGCAAGTAAATTGCTTATCTCAGCGCAATAATGAGGTACTTGGAGAGCTTTGGCCCGTATGCTCAGTGGGGGTGAGCGATATGGGTGTGGGTCTGTGGGCGTGGGCGTGGGCCTGTCTCAGGGTGTGCGTGACTTGCGTTCTGTGCGACAGTCGAACGTCTACTCCGTCTGCCATACTTTATCAATTATCTACACAAATTCCAAAATCCCTGCCAAGCTTCATCAAATTTCAACAGACGATTGCGTGCCCAAGGATTTGTTATTGGAATTTTCTTCAGGCATTCGGCAAAAATAAAGTAAATCATTTGATGTTTTCTCCCTTTCCTCGCTCTTTCTTCAGTATATGCATAAAAAGGTTTTTAATTTAATATCTATTAATTTTTAAATTAAAATGCAACCTTGGCGAAAACAAGATCGAGCTTTGCATGACGAAAAAGTGCGAATTAAAATTATTTGAGATGTGCCAGATTTCAATTGCAGGCAGCATCTACTTTGATTTGCTTCTCGTAATGAGAAAGAAAATCACGTTTCAATCACATTTCATTCACAAGAAGGTTTTGCCACTCCACCCATATTGAAAGCGTTAAGCAGGACAGTGTCGAGGTTATTAATGAGAAGTCATCAATATTGCGTTACGGGCTCAGCGGATTCGAGTATGTGCGCGGCATGCCGAAGCCAATAATTAACAGAGACTGGCTCAATCTCCATATGGGGCGAGTACCTTAAATTCGCTTGAGTGGAAATAAAAGTCTTTTAGAATAAAAGTATGAGCGAAAATACATGACCCAAGTAAAGTAGGAAAATGGCCAAAAAATCACGTACCAAAATGTAATCATAGCACGTGATTCGGCTGACGGCTTCACTAAGCATTGCTAAAGGCAAATAAATAAAATACGGTAGCCCATGGCAAATAATCTATATATATTTACATAGAGCATACGTCGAGGCTTTCATCGGAAATGAAAAAGGGCCGCAAATCTGATTTGATCGGCTTAGTTGCTTGTAAATTCATTTAGCGCCTTTTTTGGCTGCGACGCGTATTGACGGCAGTCGCGAGATTCGTTCTACGAAATTCAGGTGATGTGCGGATAAATTCAATTTGCTGTGCTAAAAATATGACTAAAGCTGCAGAAGCGAAAATAAAAAAAAAAAGGAAAACAGATTGAAGCTCACTGCTAAATCTTCAAAGTGAGCCATAGCTCATATTTCCATTTGCGTTCATTGCGTTTCGAGGCTTACGCCGTGAGATTAACATTCGCTTTATGTCCAGCTATGTTCCGAGTAACGCGCCCGCTAACGTTGCCCAAAAAGCAAAAGCGAAGGCTAAAGCAAACAATGCCAGCATGCAGTGCACCCGACTCAAACAGATTGAAGCCCAGACGAATTGTTAAGGCTGCACAGAATTGGCATTTACTTTGGCAAGCGCAAAAGAAACAGCAAATTAAAAGTTGCAGCTCAGAGGAGCTCGAAGCAAATATTTCGACTACCACTGTTTGTCTTTACCAAAAGGCCAGAGAGAACGCGTTTGCTATATATGTATGAGTGAGTATGCATGCATGTATGTACATATAAGTGTATGTATAAGTGTTATGTTGTGCTAGTGTCAATTTGGTAATAATTAATATTTAATATTTTTGTAACTGCGTGCAGCTTCTGTTCTGCTCTGCTCAACTCGTTCCTACTCAGCTATACGTGGGACTACGTTCTCTCTCTCTCTCTCTCTCTCTCTCTCTCTCTCTCTCTCTCTCTCTCTCTCTCTCTCTCTCTCTCTCTCTCTCTCTCGAGTATTCGAAATAAACAGGATATCAGCAAGCAATAAATGAGTGTGCTAATGAGACGTAAACTCGCTCGAATAATATTTTAACAGCAGCTAGCTCTCAACCTCACACTAATACTAATGCAACAGTAGCAGGAAATCATGACAAAACTCAACAGTATTATATGAAGATTGATAGGCAGATATTATATACATATGCATACATAGATAGGAATATAATATATACATATAAATACTTATATACATACACATGTGCATATATGCATATTCTCTGTCCTTGCCTTAATTAGTCAGTCTATACATCTGTCTCTGTAATAGGCAAGAATACCTAGAAATCGTTTTAGCGCACTTAATTCTGACTAAATTTCAATTATACGGATTATTATGTTTCTGATCAGCATATTCAGGCATCATAAAAGCCTTCCTAAATATTTGATAACTTTTTCCACATTATTCAGATTCTTGTTAAATTTCGACTTATTGGCTTATTATGGACTTTTGATGCTATTATGCTGTTATTAATATATAAGGGCGGATTATGGAGATATTGAGATTGCTCTTCACAAACACTAATATTAATGTATTATATTTACAGAAAACTCTAAAATTTCTGTGTAAGCTCTGTTTAAGAATTGAACTAAGCTTTGTCGAGCTTTACATGCACTCTCTTACCATAGACCATGAGCATATAACATAATTCATTAGATACATATTCATATGTCATATCAAAGCTTTTTGATATACAACAACAACAAAACATAGTGCTTTGCTGATTACAGCGCAACCACATTTAAGCTGCCTCTATTTCTACAATTACTGTTCAGCTGCTATTTGATATATTACCACAACTCAGCTGCTATCGTTTTCTGCTATTTTTACTGCTCTCAAGTGGATGTGTTAAGAGTTCAACTAATTCAGGCCTCGGCAGATATATGCCCATCTCTAGACGCTGTCTTTTCTTCATGGTATATAAAATACTTCCTGTAGCTAACCACAATGTCGTTGTCGTTGTTCTTGTCGATGTCGTTGTCGTTGTTGTTGTTGCTGCTGCTGTTGTTGTTTTAAGCAAGCGTACCACTTTTTCCATTAACATTACCCACAACCGAGTGGAGTCATTCGTTGGGTGCTTTTTTCCGAGTGCTTGTAATTATAATTAATGAGCTATGTCAAGCGCACTTGACAGCGCCAGAGTCGAGTCAAAGG